CACACACGAATGCAATCATTCCTTTTAGTAAATTTTTTAATAAACTTAGAATTTTACCGCTATTAACATAAAATGATAAAGTGATAAAATGATATTAATTATATATTAATATCATAATTATGATATTAAATATTGTTTTTTTTATACGACTGCTTATTATACAAGTAAATTTATGCAACTATATTAAAGGTATAATGCTAGAAGAAAAAATGATATTCTTTGTGATTTAAACAATTAGAAGTGTTCTATATTATCAGCAAAAAATTAGATTGCACAATTATTGTTTTAGCTTTTTAGTTATTTTGTATATATATTAATTAACTAATATATTAACTAAAGAATCTAAAACATTAAAAGAATCTGTTCTATCAAATATGTTATATATGTATTATAATTTGGGAAAAAAAAGAAAGATTAAATAGAAATACCTGATAAAAAAACATTAGCAGTAACTTTTTATTGAACTTTACTTTAAAAAAAATGATAATAAATATTTCAAAAAATTAAATCTAACTGTATACGTAATAAATAAGAAAGACATTTAACTTTTTTGCTTTTAATATGATTTCATATAATCAAAGAGATAAAAACAAAAAAATTTCAAAATATTATTAATGTCGTAATGCATATATAGGTGTTTTAGCTGGAATCTGTTTTCATTTACATTGGATAAAAGGCAAAGAAACATTGGAAAAATGGCAAACTAAAGTTACGTTGCAAAATTTAAATTCTATGGGTTTTGTAAGTGCTGTACTTTGCATAGTTGCAATGATTTGGTACCTGTTTCTTACATTTTACTATAAAATTTGTAAGTATGTTTTAAATTTTATATATTTATTTGTTTTTATATTTTTACATGTTATTTTTAATGTTCTACATAAAAGGTTCATTTGGTAACAGTAGGAAAATAGATGTTTGCATATAAAATATAAACATGTAAAAATTTATTATTATAGCTATTCAACCAATTTCTGAGAGCACTATCATACCAGCAGTATGGTCTATGATCTGTGGAAAATGGAGTATTACATTGATGTATTATTCAAATAAATATGGATTATTGATCCAAGAGGAAACATCACCATTACTCATAGACAATGCTTGATGATATGACATAATTATTGATATTTTTACATAAAATTATTTTTATAAATTTTTTACAAATAACAAATATATAGACAAATATATAGATCAAACTTATTCAAATTCTTATTTGAGAATAAAATGTGTTCTCCTTTTTATTAACTTGCTAAATAATATGATAAAAAAATACAGGATGAAAGTTGAGATCTTATCTATGAATTGTTGTGTTTTTTATATCTGTATATCTCAATTGTGTCAATTTAAAACAGTGATAT